ATAAGTACCTTACGAAGAGTGTTGAGAACCGATTGCACTTGCTGCGTAGGTTATTCAGATTCCAGATGTCCAGAGGCACCTCGCTTGCGGCTCATGTGAACAACTATACGAAGTTGTTGTCGGACTTGGCGAATGTTGATGAGAAGATATCGGATGAGTACAAGGCGATTATTTTGTTGGGCTCCTTACCGGATGAGGAGTATGATACCTTCGTGCTCACTTTGTTGAACGGGAGATCTTCTATCAGCTATAGTGAAGTGACTAACGCTTTGACGAACTACGATTTGAGGAGGAAGGATAAGGAGACTTCCCGCGCTAGTACTTCAGGAGAGGCCTTGTCGACAAGAGGTAGAAGCCCATATCCGAAAGGTGGTAACAGAGGGAGGTCAAAGTCTAGAGGCCGTCACCAACTAACAAAGAACCAATGTGCATTCTGCAAGGAGCAGGGACATTGGAAGAGAGACTGCCCGAAGCTCAAGGAGAAAGAGAATGGCAAGAAAAAGGGCCCGAAGGCCAATGAGGTGAACATTGCGAAAGGCGATGATTCCGATGATTCGTGCTTTTCTCTACTGATTACTCCGGAGGTGAACCATGTGGATGCATCAGATTGGATGCTTGATTCCGGCGCTACCTTTCATGTGACCCCTAGGCGAGACTGGTTTGCATCTTTTGAGAAAGTCGACGGGGGCGTTGTTGTCATGGGAAATGATCAATCCTGTGGCGTTTGTGGGATAGGTACCGTGCGGATTAGGATGCACGATGGAGTAGTCCGTGAGTTGAAGGAGGTGAGATTTGTTCCTCAACTGAAGAAAAATCTTATCTCAGTTGGAGCTTTGGAGGCGAAGGGATTCAAGGTGACTTTCGAAAACGCTGTAGCGAAGGTTACTAAGGGATCATTGGTGGTGATGAGGGGAGTCCGCAATCGGAATTTGTATTATCTGAAGGGAAGCACCGAGATTGGCCAGGTTGCTTCGGCTATTTCAGAAGCGGACATGAGCAGACTTTGGCACTATAGATTGGGGCACACAGGTGAAAAGTCACTGCAGACATTGTGCAAGCAGGGGCTATTGAAGGGAGCCAAGAGTGGGAAGATTGAGTTCTGTGAGCACTGTGTTCTTGGCAAGAAGACGAAGGTGAAGTTCGGGACTGCCATTCATCAGACGAGGGGCATCCTGGATTACGTGCACACAGACGTTTGGGGTCCCACCAAGACTGCATCACTTGGTGGTCGACATTGGTTCGTCACTTTTGTAGATGACTATTCTAGGCGTTGTTGGGTGTACACCATGACGAAGAAGAGTGAAGTCCTAGATTTGTTTGTGGAGTGGAAGAAGAGATTGGAACTGCAGACTGGGAGAAAGATCAAGACGTTGCGATCCGACAACGGTGGTGAGTATACTTCTGACCCCTTTCAGCAGCTATGTCGAGACGAGGGCATAGAGAGACACTTCACAGTTAGTCATACACCGCAGCAAAATGGGGTGGCAGAGAGGTTGAATCGGTCTTTACTGGAGAAGATCCGATGCTTATTGTCGCAGAGTGGTTTGGAGAAGATCTTTTGGGCTGAGGCACTTACATATGCGAGCCACCTCATTAATAGGCTGCCTTCATCTGCGATTGAGGGGAAAACCCCTATGGAGATGTGGTCGGGAAAGCCAGCACATGACTATGACCAGCTCAAGGTATTCGGGTGCCCTGCATATTATCATGTTAGAACTGATAAATTGGAACCTCGAGCTAGGAAGGCCATATTTGTAGGATTCAAGCGTGGTGTCAAGGGATACAAGCTTTGGGATCCAGTTGATAAAAAGATTGTTCTGAGTAGGGACGTCACATTTGATGAGGCTTCTATCTTGAAGCTTCCCAGCTCTCATCAGGTGGAGAGCGACCCGACGGAGGAGATATCGCAGGTGGTGGAGATCGATGCAGCTCCACATTGTCCAGATGGTACAGTATCCATGCAGGTGCCGACTGAGGTGACGCCAGGCGAGCACGACGATGACACGGAGGATACGAGTACAAATGTGCAGGATCAGGAACCGACGGCTCAGGTTCAGGATTCTATTGCGGCTAGGAGACAGAGGAGAAACATACAGATGCCAGCACGGTATGCCGACACAGTTGCGTATGCACTTCCGGTGGAGAGTATCGATGAGTTAGTGCCTACTACATTCAGAGAGGCCGAGCAGAGTTCGGAGGCTGATTCGTGGCAGGTGGCTATGCAGGAGGAGATGGAATCTCTTCATAAGAACGATACATGGGAGCTTGTTGAGCTTCCAAAGGGGCGGAAAGCAATTGGTTGCAAGTGGGTATACACGAAGAAGGAGGGCATTGAAGGCACTCCGTTGAGATTCAAGGCTAGGTTGGTTGCGAAGGGCTATGCACAGGAGGAAGGTATTGACTATAATGAGGTTTTCTCTCCGGTGGTGAAGCATCTTCATAAGAACGATACATGGGAGCTGGTTGAGCTTCCAAAGGGGCGGAAGGCAATTGGTTGCAAGTGGGTATACACGAAGAAGGAGGGCATTGAAGGCACTCCGTTGAGATTCAAGACTAGGTTGGTTGCGAAGGGCTATGCACAGGAGGAAGGTATTGACTATAATGAGGTTTTCTCTCCGGTGGTGAAGCATTCTTCGATTCGGATTTTGCTAGCTTTGGTGGCACAGTATGGTTTAGAGTTAGATCAGTTGGATGTGAAGACGGCATTTCTTCATGGTGATCTTGATGAAGAAATATATATGACTCAGCCATTGGGATTCCGAGCTGCAGGGAAAGAAAAATTAGTTTGCAAACTGAAGAAATCGCTATACGGTTTGAAGCAGTCTCCTCGACAGTGGTATAGGCGATATGATGGTTTTATGCTTGGTCATTCGTATACTCGGAGCCAGTTTGATCCTTGCGTATATTTTCGCAAGTTGAAAGGAGGTGCGTACATCTATTTGTTACTTTATGTCGATGACATGTTGGTTGCCTCTATTTCCAGGTCGGCTATAGATGAGTTGAAAGTTCAGCTTTCAAATGAATTTGAGATGAAGGACTTGGGTGAGGCCAAACGCATTTTGGGAATGGAGATCGGCAGAGACAAGAAGAAGGGCAGAATTTGTTTGACACAGGTGGCTTATTTGAAGAAAGTTCTACAGCGATTCCATGTTAGCATGTATACGAAGCCAATTAGTGTACCATTGGGAGCCCATTTGAAGCTTTCAGCTGGTCTTTCACCGAAGTCAGTTGAAGATCGTGAGTTGATGTCGAAGACTCCATATGCGAGCGCGGTTGGGAGCTTGATGTATGCGATGGTATGTACGAGACCAGATTTGTCACAGGCGGTGAGCATGGTATCGAGATACATGCACGATCCAGGAGTGGGTCATTGGGACGCCGTAAAATGGATTTTGAGGTACATTCGAGGTACGCTTAATGTTGGTTTAGTTTATGAGCGGGACACTACAGGTGGGCAGCTATGCATTGGCTATGTTGATTCGGATTATGCCGGGGAGTTGGATAAGCGCCGGTCTACGACGGGGTATGTGTTCACTTTGACCCATGCGCCGGTGTGTTGGAGATGCACCTTACAGTCGACGGTGGCTTTGTCTACGACAGAGGCAGAGTATATGACAGTTACGGAGGCTGTGAAGGAGGGACTTTTGGAGGAACTTGGTATATCGCAGAGGTCCGTCACTATTCATTGTGATAGCATGAGTGCTATCTATTTGGCGAAGAATCAGGTTTTTCATGCGAGAACGAAGCATATTGACGTTCGTTATCACTTCGTTCGGGATGTTCTTGAAGATGGCAATGTGAAAATTATGAAAGTCCACACAAAAGATAATCCGGCAGATATGCTCACTAAGGTGGTTCCGAGCAACAAGTTTGATCATTGTCGAAACCTGTTGCACATTCGTGATTGTTGAGGCCGTTGACGGCCATTTGGAGGAACTACGTTCGGCTTGATTCCTTGGGCAAGAGGATACGTAGGCAGTCTTTCAGATGCAACCGGTTTTTGGATTAGTTGATGGGGGTGAGATTGTTTGGACTCTCGTTCGGGTTCTCGACTTGTTATGGATTGAGTTCGTACTACACAACAAGTGGGACATTTCGTTGCTTTGGTGTCGGCTCAGTTTTGGAAGAAACTTCACCAGGGGTTCGTGCAAGGTGGTTTTGGCGACTGCAAGAGAAAAACGCAGGCAGCGGCTAGGAGATTTTGAGCAGTCCCTTTTAGGGTTTTGTGTATTCCTTTGAGAGATATTTGTGTGAGGGTTTGAGAGATTGTGTGAGGGTTTAAATTGAGTGTTTGTAAACCCTAGTTGTATTCTCTCCCTCTATTAGTAGATCTCCCCCTTCCTTGCCCCGTGGACGTAGGCAATTTGCCGAACCACGTAAAAATTGGTTGTACTGCTTTTGTGTGATTTGTAATAGCTTTTAGGATCCCTCGACAGGTCAGTCCTAGAACTGATGAGAGGAAGAGCCGATATCTCACTTGGTTGAGATATCCGCTTCAGATTCTTGTCTCCTTGGTGAGACGAGAATTCTTATTGCGATCTGACTCTCTTGTTGTGCTGCCGAAGTGCTGCCGAAATTTCCGCTGCGCGCAACACCCAATGCACTATAGAGGGAGAGGAGGTGTGGTGCAGAGTGTGGTTGGGGGTGTGCCCCTAACATTTCTACTAAGAAAAAGTACCTGCTAGGTTTGTGCGTCAAAACTTTTAAAAATTCAAGAAATGTTCTCTCTCTCTAAAAATCTGAAAAAAACATATAAATCTTGTAAAAATCAACAGAAATGTGAATACTTAGAAGAATCAATGTAAATGCTCTCATTTTCTTACAAAGATCAAATTGAAATGTCCCCACTTCTTTCTGGTCTAATTAAATGGATTTCATATTTGAGGCCATCAAACTTACTAATTTTAGTACGCACGTTTTCCATCACAAATAGGGTTTCCATTTTCTTAAAAAAAAAGGGATGGTGCCTCTGAAATAGCCATCTTCATTCTTAAGGGAAGAGGAGGAAGGAAAACAAATACATGAAATAAGAAGAAGAAAAAGGGGGGAGAGGGAGATGGATATGGTAATGAACAAGGTGGGCACGTACATGCTCCAACAAAATGCCAGCAAAGAGCTCTCATCTGTCACCAACGAAATCGGTGTAAGTTTTCTTTTACACCGTGTAATTACTTTTGAAAAACTCGGACTTTCGAATCTTGTTTGTTTGCAAAGAAGGATTTGCATGGGGGAGAAAATACAACCAAATTTTGCTGGGTCACGTATGAATTTTATCGAGGATATGTGACTGAAATCATAAAAACTAACATAATTTTTTAGAGAACTACTTGTGATGCATTCATCCGACATGGAAACTCCAGATACATGGAATGAAAAAAAAATATACTAAACAAATAGTGTATTTCATTAGAAATAGCGGATTCGAAGCTTGTAGGTCACATTTTTCAATGCAAAACCCAACAAATGCATAGAAACAAACAACCCCTTAACCATTGAGTGCTGCTACGGAGACCCAAAATATGGGACCAAGAGAGGGGACAGGTGAGGTGTCCCCGCCCTATTGCATAATGAGTTGGCATGGCCAACTCATTAGGGTGTTGCTACAGGGACCCAAATAGGGGACCCAAGATATGGGACAGGTGATGTGTCACCATCCGGTTGCATGATGCACTGTTCATGAACAGTGCATCATGCAACCGGATGGTGACACCTCACATGTCCCATATCTTGGGTCCCCTATTTGGGTCCCTGACGCATTAATGAACTCATTATGCAATAGGGAAGGGACACCTCACCTGTCCCCTCCCCTGGTTCCAAAATATGGGTCCTTAAATCATTTTCTTTTTTACTAGAAAAATGATTTAAGGACCCAAAATATGGGACCAAGGGAGGAGGCATGTGAGGTGTTCCCTCCCTATTGCATAATGAGTTTGGTCATGCCAATTCATGTCAACTCATTATGCAAAAGGGAGGGGACACCTCACCTGTCCCCTCCCTTGGTCCCATATTTTGGGTCTCCGTAGCAGCACTCTAGTAAAAATCTAAATCGTTGGAATGGTCCAAATAGAGAAAGAAAATATCATTAAATGACAATAATATTAGAACAACTTACATCAAGGATTTCAAACTTTGAATGGCATGCTTCATTGTGTGGGTGCAATGATTTGAGGTTATTAGAATTTAATTTATTTGGGGCGCTTTTTTTTTTGGAGAAGATCTGCCAAGAAATAAAGATACGAAGAAAAGAGTTTTTCCTGTATAGAATATAAAAATGCATATGGTTCTACAACTAAGTTGTAATTTTTAGACTAGAATTGAAGGACTATTAATTGATAAAAACAACTGCCGTGAATTTTATTTATCTCTCACTTTATAAAATCAAGCCAAGACTCCACAACACCTTATCTCTTTTTATTTTTATTTATTTATTTATTTATTTACTTTTCCTGATCTAACTTCTCTGTCATGCATCCAAGTCATTTACTCACGGGATCGGAGGAGGTAAAAAATGGCTGGTGGATAAAGTAAAAGGTAATTAAATTTCTCATGTCCTTTTAACTTCTCTTTCATTTTACACGATTAACTAATCAGGGGGTTAATGAAAAATATGAATGAGTTTATTTAGAAAATTTCTTCGTTAATATATCGCGCAATTGATTAATATTTGTAGGAAAGATGCAGAAACCACTCCCGAATCTGCTGAAAGAGTACGACCTCCCAGTGGGCCTCTTCCCTCAAGACGTATCAACCTACGAGTTCAAGGAGGGCACCAAGCAGCTGACCGTGAACTTACCGTTGGCATGCGAGGTTCGCTACAGGGATCAGTCCTTCGTGCGCTTCAACACGACCATCACGGGGTTCCTCGAGAAGGGAAGGATGTACGATGTCGAGGGCATCAAGACGAAGATCAGCGTGATTTGGCCGATGGTCTCTTGCGTTACGACCGAAGGGACGAAGATCCACCTGCAGACCACCGTCAAGAGGACTACGAGGGAGAGGGCTCCGTATGAGATGCTCAGGGATAGCATTGGCTTAGACAAGTTCTAAGCGTCGACGTTTTAATTAAGTTGTGAGGAGATGGTGAGGCTGAGGTTAATTTGGATTATCTAGCTTATTGTTTTTTCTTCCCCGTTCGTTGTAGTTTCCACGTGCTTTTAAGATTGTTGTATACAAAAGTGAGATTCATGAATTAATAAAGTTTTTTTTTAATGGAAGATTGATGAATCAAGTTGGGAGATAGTACTCTTGTTGTACGTGTAACGATTTTACCTAGCGACGTTAGTGTTGAATATTGACTCGTGGTTCAGCCTGTTCGAGTTAACAAGAATTTTTTACTTATTCCCTTGAATAATTGAACTGAAAGCTAGGAGTTATCGCCAAAATAAAAATAGAGCAAAAAACAGGAATCAGTTAAGAAAAATAAATGATTGCACCAGCCGGAAATCGAACCCGGGTCTGTACCGTGGCAGGGTACTATTCTACCACTAGACCACTGGTGCTCTTGTTTACTCTGGCTTACAGTTTTTTATTCGTAATGATACATTACCAGGGTGAGTCTCAATAAAAATCATTTTTCTGCACTTTCAAGTATTTAGCCCAACCAGATACTTTGGGTAAGTTGTCTTCTTAATATGGACACCGTCAAAAAAACTCAGTTCTTTCAATCTCCCTTATGATCAATGTACATTTCAAGTCGAAACCATCGCGTACAACTCATTAATCAGCAGCAAACAATCAATGAACACGATCAGCGAAATGCATAAAAGGAACCAAGCAATACAATTCTCAAATTTAAACCGTGTGGAAAACCACAATAAGATGAATGTTTACACATACAGTTACCCATTATCCGCAACATCTGTTAATACAATTAAAATTCTACCTCCTCCAAAAAAAAATTGAACATGCTCAGCAATTATTTGGTTTTACCAGGAAAAATCATTACAGCCGAGTGAAAATAAATTAGCAAAACCTATAACAACATGGAAAAGTATACAAATAAATTTACCAGACTAATGTATAGCACAAGCAGCATGCTGTCTCAAGCTCTAAGCCACACTGCAGATCCAACTGCACTAGCCAAGAGAAATAATCTTCATGTTGTATTATATTATTTGTCTCGTAAAAAGTTTCATGAAGGTATCTTCTTATTGTTGATCTCTTGAAAAAAGGATTTTGCTGCTTCATAGGTTGACCAACAAATAGCAGCAGCAGGCGCATGGAAGAGCATTCTTGGGCCCCATCCTCTCATGAGGCCAACATATCCATCGCGCCTTATTATGGATTGTATAACTTCCTTCATAGAACTACTAGAGAATCTGGCACAGCCACAAACACCCTGTTTCGACCAATAAAATAAATGAGTGAAATAAAAATTGGCTGATACATTGATATACATATCACTGACATATTTTTGGGTTCCTAACTGGTGGGAAAGAAGTCAGTAGGAATGAGCATACATTTCTCTTATTATTCAGATACATAAACCTTCCTCATTTGAATCCACCACAGAATAATGTACATACTACCGTCTCTTCCATGTTTATGTCTACTCCAACTAACTTGTGCATTAAGAAAGCCTAAATCAAATGACATATCAGCCATGTGAAATTCCCCAAGCATTAGAATTTCTAGTGTAGTTATAGTCATCACACCTATAAGTAGTAGAAAAATAACAAACAAAGTAATGGGAAGACAGAAGTATTACTTTGACCCTTTGCAGAATCATGGATGTGTTAGATGAATCACAAGTCACAAGAAACCCCACTTTGCAAGAAAACCCACTTTGGAAGAAATTCTGAATAGAGATTTTCTCTTCACTCTTTGCTGCTGACAAAAGTCCGATGCAAACAATTCTCTTATGGAACTTCCTTCTGTGGTAACTTTAGTGGTAATTACTTGATTTTTTTTTTAAAATGAAAAGTTCATAACATGGTGGAGTCCCTTCTTGTCTAAGTTGTTACTACATGTATTGAGTTGGGCTATCATTCAAACAAGATATCCGGATGAAGTAATATAGAAATCTACAATTGTTGATAATAATAAAATTCAGTTACACAATGCACATGGTTACATTTCCTTATTATATGCTTCTTGTTTATAGCTACATACAGGCAAAAAAAATATATTGCTAAGCGCCATGGTTCGTATCTTTCTAATCAATTCTAATTTGCTGCCTCTACTTTTCTTAAGCATCTCCTCTGCTTTGTCTTTGGAGTTCCCAGTCAACTAAAATACTCCAATTTCAGGTGTGTTTGCTTAAATCTCCTTTACCTCTTCAGCCAATTTCTTGACCATTCATTTGAACCATCACCATGCTAATGTTTCTTCCTATCTTGATTCTCCAGGTCATCCTCCGAATAATTTTGATTCTCTTTTAATCCAGTCCCCCTAACACCCTTTAAAACTCTTTATCTTTATTCTTCAATTCTCTCTGATTCCTTACCACTCATTCACAAAAATAGACTCAAATAAAAGCAGTAGAATCACCACTTAAGCCAAAAATTACCTCCAGCCGCATCAGATCATTTCGCCTCACAATTACACTCTGCATATCAGCGTAAGCATGATAAACATGATCACGAGCGCGAAGACGATGACAATGATTACCCTGATTTATCATCTTATGTTGTCTTTTTCCTTTCTTTTTTCCCCCCATTTTGTTCTAGAGGCAATTGACACCATATTTGACCATAGCAAAACATCCTGCTATCTTACAAAATCAGCTACATCTAAAAAAGAAGATTATGAACTTGTCATTTACTAAACTATTCATAGCAATTTTGGACAGGGGGATCTATACAAATTTATATCAATCTAAAAGAAGGCTTGACCTGATCCTTCGACCTACTTTTCAAGAAAAGGAATAAGTATCTAATAGCTAAATGATGAAACAAAAAATGTGAAAGATGAAGTAACCACAATTAGCACAAGCTTGTATCACACATCAGCATAAAGTTGTAGCCTCTAAAGCATTACTTATCGATGAATTTGGCACACGCAGAACAAAATCCTAGAGTTACAGCCACAAACCAACTTCTGGAGCTCGCATAGAGCTATAACATGCATTCATCAAAAGCAATTATCCAAAAGTCTAAAACCTCCGTATTTCTCCTCTTGGCCATCTCACCTCATCTCAAAATAAATAAATAATTTATTCATATACAAATCACACAAAATATCAACCATTCTTTCTTGAGATCTTACTCAATTTTAGCTTCAATATGTCCTCAATAACATGAACAATTTCTTTATCTGGCTCATTGCCAGCAACAGAACTGTGAAAAGAAAGAATAACAAGTTGTCTTCCAAGAGTCTACATCGCATTTCTTGAAATGCAAAATACACAATCCTATATTTAATTTCAGTTTCACATGTTTCTGTCAACTTTTCTTGTTCAAATGGAAGTGGTATTTGAACACTTATATCCAGTTTAATCCAAAAGCATGGACATCCAATCAGTAACCCCGGTACATGGACACCTAAATTTGTTTAAACTTTAAAGACAAGGAAGATTAAAAGAGTGGTTTCCGCTTTGAGATCCAATTCTCAATATGTTAGTCGTAGAGACATTACTTGACACAAAGTAGATTTTGAATTCATTCACATATAGGTAATTGTGCCAGGTATATCATAATTTGGGATCCCGTTATAGTTATAAGCACAAATTTGAAGTCATTAACTTCCTTACGCAGGTTCATTCCCAATCAAACATTCACCAAATGATATCCTCCAATTTTTTAACCTCGCCCTACCTCTTGGAAACAGATATCCTGCTGATTTCCCTAATATGGCACCCAATTTCAATCACGAAGTAGCATAGAAAATCAGCATCATACAAGACATATCCTGTTTCTCCAACAAATTTCAGGTCTAACAACCAATACCTGACACTGCAACTGAGTCTTCATGAATACTACTCTTGGGAACCCCCAAGTACATGCATAACTGTTCAATTACCCACCCTTTCCCTCGATTTCTTCATCCAAACTAAACCTAACACCCAGTTTTTTCCACAAACATAACACATACCTCACAAACAAAGCCACAAGTTTTAGATTCAACATCTCACCAAAGTTACTTATGGAAACATGTGTCATCATTTACCCACTTCCTCAATATCCTCATTCCAAACTAAGACTTAGACCCATTTCCTTCCACAAAAGTAACAGGAGACATAAGACCTATGCTAAATAATCATTTCTTCCAAATAAATTTTGGTTTCACCAGCCATTACTTGACAATGCAAGTCTGCAACTAAGTTTGCACCAAAGAAACTTACTGAAGCCCTAAAGTATATGCTTCACATGTTTCCTTCCTACCCTATTTCATCCAAAAAGAACTAATCTTTCAACGAATTCTAGGTTTTCTCCCTATGCATCCCCCTCAAACCCCTCTCGCCCATCCTAAACTAACGCCCAATTTCTTCCACAAAACAACTTAAGCACCCAATCCCCCATACAAAAAGAACCAATCTTTCAACGAATTCTAAGTTCGGCACTGCTTACCTGGCACTGCAACTGGGTCTTGACCACATCCAACGGTCTCCTCTGACGCGACCTCCATCAGCCCCCTCTTCGCCGCCTCGTACGTCGAGAAATGCACCGCGGTGAACGGCGCATTCATCACCACCGTCGTCTTATAACTCCTGTACAGCGCCCCCAGCCCCTCCTCCCTCAAAA